CAAATATACCTATCTGATTAATTTACAATACAGATTACAATATTGATGGTTGATACTGTTACATTATTATAATTTTAACTTTTTCAATTTTAAATAAGGCTGACATCTGTCAATTTTAGACAACTACCGTAAGTTACACTGACTGCTCTGACACAACATCCGTCCTAACTTGTCAACAATGTCATTTTGATCAGTTGTTATCAACAGGTCCTCGTAGACACTTCGTCTCAGGACCATTTTACTCATGTAGAGTCATACGCCGCCATGTTACCTATCCAACGGTAACTTAACCATCACAAATTAGAAATACTAATAATGTAAAACAACTTCAAATTTATAACATTTAAAGGGTTTTTACCCATATATTTTGGTGGCTACTAGCATGTACAACCGTAAGTATTAACCACATTTTGCTCTAACCTTTGTCAACATTTTCATTTAACGTTCTTTTTAATTAAAGTGGTTATATACTTTCAGGTTTGCACTGATGATGGATTGTTTAATCCGAAAACGTTTTGCAATGTGTTTGTGATAGCCCGTTTGAGGCATTTTTATATACCTTTTATAAAGGATTTTAAACAAAATTTTTTTGTGATATATGGTATACAGCCAGCTACAGGAACTTAGTTTCCTCGTGGAATTTTATAATTTTTAATTATCCAGCTAAGAACCTGGAGAAGGTCGGAGCGAAACCGTTAAGGTTGGAGGCATAGTTTGGACGAGGCCAAGGCTCGATTTGGGGTGTAGGCCATCGAATAGAGAGGGAACTCACTTTACTTACTCTTAGCTTTTTACTCTTAAGTCTCCTCTAAGCAGTTGCACTTTATCAAGCAGCCTGATGATATCGGCATCACCATATTCAAAAGGTTGGTGTTAGTGACGTTTGACTATTTTACTAAAGGTCTCATTAACAGTGTCCATTTCCAAATCTCTATGGAGTTCGTTGTTCCTGTAATATTAAGGAGCATTGAGAATGCTTCTTAGCATTTTATTTTGGAATTGCTCTGCAGTATCTAAATTAGTCTTATTGGTGCATCACCACAGCTAGATGCCACATGTCCATACTGTTTTTTTATTTTTCTCTTCTTTTTATTTTCAACATTTAACATTTAACCCTAACGCTCTTAATAAGAGAACGGACATTAGTAACTTGAGCCAAATTTATCATGCTCTAATATTGCAGAATTAGGCTTACTATGTTATTTACTTTAAAATTGTCACCTAAGGTGTTTGCTTTACATAATTTCTTTTCAAATAATATTCAAATATAAATAAAATAAAATAATAATTTCCTACTTTAAATTATCTCAGATTTATGCAACTTACATTTCATGACTTACTGTCAACGTTGCTTTTGTATAATTGTATTAATTGTTTCTATTCAAATAGTTCAATACAACTTTATTACTATAAATGATTCATAGAATCCCTATTAATTTCAGTTCCAAATGTTATGTACCTTGGACTGTTGGAAGTTTAATCATTTTTCACCTGTGGCTGGCTATCCAGTCACAACGTAGACTATTAATATATGATTTTTTGATTGACCTCGCTTGTTTGTTCTTTGTTCATCTCAACCGATCACTGGGGGGAAAATGGTGTTCTCAACCACCTTTTCCTTTCATTTTTTGGTTTATACAGACAGGTTGTCGACCAAATTTGTCATATTTTTTAAATAAACCGCTCTATTGTATTAGAGTTGGTAGTAGTACGCCTTGTTGTTCTGTCACGCGTTGACCTGAAGGCATCTGTCTGTCTTTTCACGTTGGTGGCGTTATAACACCTGTTGCCTCCATTTCACCGGCAGCAGACTAGAAGCTTGTAGTGGTAACTTCAGTATACTTATAATAAACTACTAAATTTTTAATTAATCATTTTAATAATGCTACCTAAAGTCAAAATTAAATCTTAACTATTGATATACTGTTGGAAGTGCATCTTAGATCTTTTAGTTCTTCTTCACATTAATTTACTTTTTTATATTTTTTACATAAATTTTTTATATACATGTACAACTACCACATGTTCTTTTGCTGTGCTAAGTTTATGAAAATTGTTAACTATATTTAGTTCAATTTATCGTTTATACAACATAATTTTATAATGTCCATTGTCGGAAGCTTCTTTACAATTTTAATATCATTGACTGCTACAAATCTTTTTGAGGTAACACACTTAATAACTTTTCTTTGGATGTTAGGTTCTTCATATTGTTCTTTTTAGATGAACTGATGATGCTTTCTGATTAGAAAGCGAAACGTTTTTAATAAATAGATGAAGTAGCCATCATCTTTGTCTTTTTTCTCCACCTTTTGACACGAAAAACCCGCCACTCTTCGAGTAATCCTTAATTTATATATATATATATATATAATATATATATATAATATATATATATATATATAAATATATATATATAATAATAATATATGTAATTATCAGAATTATAACTAACTATAGAGGAAAGTCGCCTAATATTAGAATAGCTCCTAATATTGGATAGCTAAATATTTTAAAAACAAATGGAATAGCACGTGCTATCTATACACGAAAAGCTATATTATGGTTCAAAACTTAATGGGAAGTCCTGTAGATCTAAAGATCATCATCGACATACTTACAAATTATTCAACCGCACATTCTAATTGTTGTGTTACTAGTGCTGAAAACTTTTTAAAAATGCAAGAACGTTAAATACTTTTAATTGCTAGTGTAATGCATGTCAAAGTTGACATATTTATGTTTTAGTAATGAAATCTTGTATGTTTTTCTTTGAAAAATTGTAACCTGCAATTTAAAAATGTGCCTAATATTGGACATAGAAGTATTCTCAATATTGGAACTCCAATTTAAGGAAATTTTATATGTATCTATACTGAAAAACATTTTTGTTACAGAATCTCCACTAAAAAAAGAAAGCAATGGAATAAAGCAAATATGGCCTTTGAAACATCGGTTATACTGACTAAGGTGGTGGGATATTTGAAAGCAGCAAAAGCTCACGATGTATCGAAGTCTATATAAGAATATTATTATAAGAAAGAAAATCCACTGGGATGCCTCGAATAATCAACTCTAGGTCGGAAGCCAGTGTTCCCGACGCATCAGAAAAAGAGTTGGTTGCATACTGCTTAAAATTTAAAAGGAAGTTTTGTGGTTTAACATTAACAAATATTCCAGTTTAGCCTTTCAGTTGGCTTTGGCTAACAATTTTCCACATTTATTTTCTAAAACGAAGGATATTACAGGGAGAAAATGGCTAAGAGATTTTTTGAATGTTACAAGAATATTTCTTTTCGAATGTCACAAAGTGAATCTGCAGCTACAATCAAAATTTTACTAAAAAAATTAGAAATTTTCAAATAATCTTGAACCAGAACTAAAAAAGATAAAATTTAATTCAAGCAGGGTATATAACATTAAAGAGGAGTCCGGAATAACAGCAATTCAACACAAGCATACTAAAAGTTATATTCTTAAAAGGCAAAAACAGATTGGAGCATGAACAACTTCGGCAGGAGGTTTCGATTGTCACAGCCCAATGATGATCTTCCTGAGAAAAACTTTTAAAGCACAGCTAATGAATAGAAAGATGTCATCCTTCTATGTGGATTTAATTTTATTTCTTATACTAAGCTATTCGCCAAAGATCCGTCATTTTAATTTTAGACGGAGAATATTCGCACACGAAAAAGTTGGATGTCATTAATAAGGCTCCTATCATTGTAATATGCCTAACTCCTCATCTAACTCATAAGATAAAACCTTTAGATGTAGCCTTTACGAGACCTTTAAAGACATATTATTACCAACAAATCAGAAAATGGTTAAGAAATAATACTTAAAGAACTGTTTTTTCCGTACAACATTGCGGGTTTGTTTGAAAAAGCATATTCAATGACAGTATTAGTGAAAATTTCTTTGCATGGTTTTCCAAAAAGTGACATTATGTCATCTTTAGATAGAGATTTATTTCGTGACCAAGATCTTACAATCCTTTACAAGTTAAAAACTTTCCTTGATGGGGACAATAGTAACAATGAAAAAACCAATTATTATTCTACAAGACGCTTGTGTATAACCTGGTAAAATAACTACCAGAGTTATTCCCTCAGGTTCCACGGTTACTAACTTTGTAAAACTAACTGACCCAAAGCCTTTGTCTATTTTCGTTGGTCCATCAGGAACTTAACGAAAGAACTCTGGTACAGCTGCTTTTTTTATTGGATTGTCTTATATAAAAGCTCTTGAAGAATCACAATTGCCTAAAACTTCAAGTGAGGTAAAAAGAAAGTGGTAAACTTTGACGTTAAAGCATGCAGAGCAATAAAGAACATGAAAGAAAACATGAACTCAAGCAAAAAGTGAATCCAAAATTAAAAGGAAAATAGAAGTCGTTTCTTCGGATTCATCCGAGTCTGAGCAAGAAATACATATTATTTGTTGATTCCGAGGATGATGTGGATCAACAAGAATTTTTCGAACAAAGTTAGGCAACAATTTTTACACTGTCGTAAATACTACAGATGGTATCATAAAGCTTGCGATGGTGCTGAAGGCAACAATAATAATTTCATTTGCGCATTTTGTATGGATAGATAGTTACTATTTACCTTTTGTTTATTATTTTTGTACGTTTTAGATTAATAAATAACATTTACTAAAATAGAAGTTATATTTTGTAATTACCAAAACAACAAATAAATTGTTTTCATTGTACATGTACAGGAAATATGTGAATCAGATACCCTATCCAATATTAGTCGACTATTTTGTAATCTGTCTAATTTTGGTTTCATATTAACATATTATTATCCCCTATAGGTATTTTCTAAAATTATTTTAATCCTACCCGAACCTAATACATAGTTGTACCAGCAAATTGCTGAAAACAAAACAAAATTAGAATTTATATTTGGTAAAAAGTAGCGGTTCAAAAAAATGTATTCAATATTAGGCGACTCTTCTCTAAATAAAAAAAAACTAACAAAAAATTTTACCTTTTTCAGAACCCGAGGGATTAAAGGCCTTTGGTCATCCACTGTGATTATCTTTATATTTTTATGAGCTGACTGTTTGATTGCTGGTCCAAGGTAATCTCTCACCCATAAACCCTTTAACATTTAAAATAATATATTTACAATAGAAAAACTTTTACCGTACGTTAAAGTGATACGTTTATATAGGATTATTCTTTAAAATTCCGGTTATACTGAAAGTCGTAGTAGACTCTAAATATTTTAAAATAATTGGCATATCTAAAACACCATATCCTAAATTTTCTCTATAACGTGTACTTTGAACTCCCAAAAAATTAGCCTGTATTATGTTAGTTCCGTCTGAAGCGTCTAAATAGAAGTATCCTTGGAATAAGTAAAATGAGATGGCCAGGGTCTGGAAAAGTAACTGTAGATGATCACATTGTATACTATTCAGGAGAAGACAGCTCAAAACACAAAAATGGTGTAGCAATAATTGTGTCGAAGGAAACAGATAAAGTTGTAAAAAACGTCGTCCTATTCTCAGACAGGATACTGATGATACAAATACAATCAACAACAATCAATGTGAACATATTACAAGTATATGCACCCACACAAGACTATGAACAAGAAGAAGGTAATCCAAGGTAATCGTGGTCCTGGTAGAAGAAGAACATCATGGCTGAAAAATCTAAGGCAGTGGTATGGACAATTAACTACATCGTTGTTTAGAGCTGCTGTCAATAAAGTCACGATAGCGAATATGGTAGCCAACATGATATCCAACGATCGATAACGGTCATGGAACTAGAAGAAGAGAAGAATGTTAGTCCTATATTTCATTAAACAAAAATTTCTTGTTCTTCTATTTTACTTACAACAAGCAATTACGCTTTATTATTGGTGTGTTAATAACTCTATAGAAGGTTGTCATCCGTCTTTGACACTCTTAGTTTCTACCGCTTGGTGATTATTTTCTTGCTATTTGACCACTGGTTGCCTCCATTGTATTATGTAAATATTTAATTATTTTTTTCTGTTTAGTATTCACTATGTATATCTTCACTCATTTTTCATTGGATTTCCTGTAATTCGTCTCAGTATTGATATCGTCTTTTTCTAATAGCTTTTATGTTCTGGCTACGTTTAATCTTGTTTTGATGTTTACGTAATTATTGGTCTTACAATAATTTTATTTTTTTTTATTATCTCAGTGTTATTCAATCGGTTTCGCTACAGATTTTAAGCAACGCAGTCTACTGCATTTGTACTCATCAATCTCCACTCTCTTAGACCATGATAGCGAAACAGTGTAATCCGTAAGTATTTTACTTCCATTACTTTTTTAATGCGACACTATCGATTTCTCATTACCACCATTTTGGTTTTCTATTGATTGAGTAGTAGCTCAGTATGTACTTGTGGCGCCCCCAAACTCGGATAAAGAAGGAAGGTTAGGCGACAAGCTAGTCACTTGTCGTCGAAAAAACGGTTACCACGAAACCTGGAAATAAGCATTGAAATAGTTGGATATTCAGGAAACGATATTTGCAACGGCACTTGTATTTCGAAAAACTCGTATAATCTCAAAAAAATAAATTTAGATAATAAGTTTACCTATTCCTGTATAGAGCTATTGCTTTTTTATCTGATTGAAAAATAGAAAAGTCAAAAATCAAAAAAATTAAAAGAAAAAAACCGTTGATTCATTAAACGTATCATACACCCGTAATATGTTAATTACTTAATATATTTTAAATATCTAACACTATTTTATCAGGAAATTAAAAGATACAAAAACAAGACAGTAAACTAAAACGATATAATCTGGAAGATGTTTATTAAGGTAAACATTGCAAAATTATAGATTACTATAATCGGTTCACAATTTGTCGATAGCTCACTACAAGTTTAATCCTAATTAGAGAACTGAAATACAGAGAGGATAGGTAATACGATATAATAGTAAAAACCAACCTGAAACTGACGGTTTAAGATGTTTTCGACTAACCCACCTTGTATCTGAAGGAATACAATACAGCAGTCAACCTTATAATCCGATTACGAAGGTATTTTGGTTACAGATGACCGACCAGTGTCGTAGAGTATATGATTGAAACATTTATTTGAACTAAATAAATATATTTTTTAAATTGTATTTTTGTTTTAATAAAACTTCTTTATTTTATTCAAAAATAAAAAGTTTCTTGCCATTTGTAAAAGATACATTTATTTAATTAAGGGGAAAGGCGCCAAATGTCGCCTGGCAAAATTTTCAATGTGTTTTAAATGTATCCATTATTTTCGAATCCTATGAAAACTAATACATATTTTTGAAAAATTTAAACGCAGCATTAAAGATTACATTATTACTGAGGGCAGAAAGTCTCTGAAAACTTCTACAATGTTTATTTTAATATGTTATGTAACAGCGGTGAAAATAAAAGAAAAAATATAGTATAATTTTTAATTGAAAATATTGCATGCAAAAGAAACTTTTTATTTATTCTAATAAATATTTCATTCTGCCTTTAAATTTTTCAAAAATGCTTTTTAGTTTTCTCAGGATTTGAAAAAAAAATGGATACATTTAAAACACATTAAACATTTTGACAGGCGACATTTTGCGCCTTTCCCTTTAATACCTTACGATTACAACTACTATTACTTACCTTATATAATTACGATTAGAAAACTATTCAAATTCAAAATAAATAGGATCAACTTCGGAATCCGAGTCGTCTTGAGGGTTAATAATTAGCGGTTGTGTCTCTACGGTCGCATCAATTATGTTATCAAGATCCCACATTTTTTGTTCTTCTTCTATTACATGTCTTACTGCATCTTTCCAGTTTTGTTCTGTAATATGTTGTAAAGACTCGTATAACAATTCACGTACAGCTTGTATTTTATATGACGTATTTTTTCTAGCCACATAACTTTTCATTTGTGCCCAAATGAGTTCAATTGGATTTATTTCGCAGTGGTAGGGTGGAAGTCTAAGGACTGTGATGTTTCGCCTTTCCGCCATTTTGTCAACTACGTATTTCTTGAACTTAGATTTGTGTTGCCAGGCAATTTTTAAAAGTTCTGCTTTTACCATTCCATCTTCGTAAGGCAGATACTTATTCCGCAGCCAGTCAAGAATATCCTGTTTCCTTCCACGCAGTCGTTGGAAGTCTTTCTACTAGTCGTGAATGATAAGGTGCATTATCTAATACTATAATTGAATTTGGTGATATGTGTTCAATCATCTGCTCAAAATACTCTTCGAAAACATCAGCTGTCATCTCCTCGTGATATGTCTTTTGTGTTTTTGGACTGAAATTCCAACAAACCATGCTTAACAAATATTTTTTCACTGCCAATGTGAAAAATTATTAATCTACTGCCTTTACCAGAAGGTGGGAGATACCAGTAGACCAACCTTCCATAAAGGCTTTCCTGGAGCTTAATATATTTTTATCTGACCAAATTTTTTTTAGAGTATGACCTGAACTTACCCACGTATCTCCTCTCGGTCAATCAAAAGTGATTTTCGGTCTAATTTCTCCCACCGGAAATTAAATTCTTTTAAAACTTGCCGCAATTTAGTTCGTCCGATATAAGGCAAATCCGGGTCGTCTATAACTTCTTGTAAAATTTTGTTTAGGTTTGGTATTTCTTTTTTGAAAAAAAATCATGAATTTTCCTTCGAATACCATTTTTGGCAAATTCATCAATTTCAATAGGCTTTTTCCCTCTCTTTAAGTGTTCGTTTGTGTTTGGGTTAGCTATACCGTGTTTTTTTTCTTTCTTATAAGAACCTATATATAGTTGACTCTCTTACTCCATTGATATTGGCACAACTTTCGACTATATTGCGAACAATATTTGTGGAATTCTGAGAAATCAGAGCATTCTGAACATTCAGGACAATAGTCTTCTCTCTTGGTGAATAGACATACTTACTGACTGTACGCAACAGTACTGGTGTAAAAAACTTGATGATGTTGATGATAAAGCCATCACAAACAATCCATCAAAAACGAGCACGATCGAAAGGTACGTATATGTTCGTAGGTATATGGAATAAAAAATCACTCACGCACTGCATATACTTCGCAAAAGAAATATACGAGACGCTAATTACTGCCATAGACGCGGAAATACCGACGAGCCGTAAATTACATGCGATCAAAAACGTACTAAACAAAAAATTGTTTTGTTCGTAATAACTTCACCCTTTCAAGTTAAGTTTCGAATAAAACTGAACAGACGAGGCACGTGGCCAAAGCCGGCATCTTTATACCCATTATATTATTAAAAATCTGGGGAATTCCATCCTTATTATCTTGAAACGAATAGTACCTTCGGATATGAATTCCAGGTTTTCTAGTAAAGTGATTAAACGCGAAGATTAGTATTGAAATATCCAAAGAGATAAGGTGTTCTTATGTACAAAATTGTTGATGGTTAAATTCTTATTTTATTTATATAATTATAATAACCAACATTAGCCGTGAAAGTTGAGGCACATTTCATGCTATGAACAATTTGTGAACGGATTATACGTGAATAATAAGATCTAGCTACTATAAAGCTGACATATTTGTCAAACTCTGTGTAGGTAAATCTATACTTACAAGGTCATCTGGCATCCACAGTACACCAGGAATACCACCGTAGTCCAGCATAGCTACAAATACTTCATTTCCAGTTGTAATGCCCCAGAAATAAATTCCGTTTTGAAGATACTTGTCCAAGAAGGTTACGAAATATTTTGCATAAAGTTCATATAGCTCCCGTTTGATAAAACCCACTGTTCCTCTGTAACTATTATTTTCTTTAAATACTTTTGGTGCAACCCATGCTGATGCAAAAAGTTGTAGACTTGGGCAAAGTCTCATTGCTTCTTGAATATAAGGTATCTATAAAAGTAACTGTATATTAATTATTTTTTTAAGCTTTAGGAAAGTTTATAGTATTTTAACATTAATATTTATGTATGATACATTTCTACAGAAACTTTATGGAAAGTTGTCTTGTGTACACGGATGTATAGTGTTACGAAATGCGCTATCGGAAGTTTGGAAATTAAGTTCCGAAGCTTTTGGTGTAATGTCTTTAGGGAGAAGTCTGTTTTTTATTCCTGTTTGTAAATTCAACATACTCTACTTACATATGTCTACAGACTATTAAGTATCTGCGCTGATGTTTGTTTAACGTTCTCTAATGACTAGTTGCGGGCTGTCACAAAGTGCCAAATCTAGAGAATGGGATGGATTCTCCATGACCGACCTGTTTTTTAAGCAAATTGTCCTTAATGTCACCCCATTCTCTCTCGTATTTACAATTCTTACACTTTTATAAATCCGTATAATTACAAATAATATGTAATATGCCCTTTTCATATAAAACACTTGTAACGATGAGTCCAAGCCATCACCGTTAAACCAGCGTGCGCGCGAACCAACCCATGAAGTAGGAGTGTATCGACAGTAGAAAGGGCAAAACTAATTACCAAGCTCCGCTATATAAACCGCAACATTTCCTCATAGAGAGAGAATCGACAGGTGTTGACTGAAGGTTCTCTTCTTCCCTACCCCGGCTTGTGGACGTGTTGAGTTCACAAGTTGTTCCGTCCCATACCGCCGTTACCCGAAGAGCGTGTTGAGCTCTTCACTACCCGTACTCTGAAGCAGTCGTGTTGAGACTGTCGAGGAGTGTCCTATTAACCCGAATCACTTAAGGGACGTGTTGAGTTCCTTTCCTTTCTTTGTACCTATCGTCCGCTGTTATTAAATCGATACAACGTTCCCGTAAAATTTCAAAATACACACTCGCTTGCCGATAAGACTAATTTCATATGACAAGGTCAAATTTAATTTGAATAAATAGGCCAGGTACTGAGAAGACTAAACCAAATTGTAAATATGTACATAAGATTTTTGTCAATTTAATTTAAGGAAGACAATAAAGTTTTATTTTATTTTGAACTCTGTCTCTGACTGTCCAAAAGCTACCCGGATAGTGACTCCTACGAGAGGACATCACGAATGGCGCCCGAGCAGGGACATTTGTGATGTCCTCTCGTAGGAGTCACTATTCGGGTAGCTTTTGGACAGTCAGAGACAGAGTTCAAAATAAAAATAAAACTTTATTGTCTTCCTTAAATTAAATTAGATGTAAATTAGATTAGATTAGATTAGAAAGTCACGGCGAAATTAGATCTAGGATAGAGCAGGCTAGATCTGCTTTTAGGATGTCCAAGGTGTTATGTAACAGAGACCTAAAATTGGCATTGAGGATCCGCCTTCTTCGCTGCTACGTGTTTTCGGTCTTACTTTATGGCGTCGAGTCCTGAAATGTGAATAAAACCGATCTAAATCGCCTAGAGGATTTCGAAATGTGGTGCCATGGAAGAATTTTAAAAGTTTCCTGGATGGGAAAGATTCGAAACTCCACAATACTAGAACGTCTCAGCAAGACTACTGAGATCGTAAAAAGCATCAAGCAGAGAAAGCTGGAGTATTTCGAACATGTAATGAGAGGTCCCAAATATAGGTTGCTACAAAATATATACAAGGAAAAATAGCAGGCAAACGCAGTCCAGGACGAAGAAGAACCTCTCATGGTTAAAGAACTTGCGAGATTGGTATAGCGTTGATACAAGCATGCTATTTTGGGTGGCAGTGAATAAAATTAAGATAGCTATGATGGTAACCAACGTTCTGAAAGGACATGGTACATGAAGAAGAATAAGAAGACGAATTAATTCAATCGTTATCTTCAATGCAAACGATAAGACAGAGAAAACGTGAAACGATGTGATTATCTAAGAAACCTTGCAAATGAGCTTATATAGCGGTATTTAAAAAGTTAAGTTACTACTACAAAATCTTCCAGTTAGCGTTAAATGTCGAATTGGCGAAATTCGCGGCATCATAGATGTAACTCCTGCAATTCCAAAAAGAAATTAAACAAAGGGTCGTTGTTCATTTTGGATTACCAAAAAGAACAGGTGTACTCGCTTTTCATGCATAAAATTTATGTACTTCACGTACATAAAATGTCTCACTTATTAAATCAACTGAAACGCTTATTTTATATGCGTTAAAAACCTAAGTTATTTTTTTAGTTAGGTAATGAATATTCCTTTTAACTAAAAATTACGAACTGTTTTTCCATTTCAAAGATTTGAAGAACTTTTTTTTTAATTTATTTTATATTTCAAATAACAATATATTGGTATATATTGTTTCTCATTTTGTATCTGTTGTTTTTCAAAAATATTTTTCAGTTATTGCTATAAACAATATAAAATATTTGTATAAATTTTATAGCAATACCTATTTTTTTTAATGGTCGGTATCAGACACCGTAGCGACTCTTGATACTCAGTTTTTCCTAGCGACTAACGAAGGGTTAAAAGATATTACTGCTTTAACTTACCAAATTTAAACTGAAACAATTATTTTTACTTACTTTAAATTCAAAATCTTCTTGTGCTAGCTGAAAGCTCTTTAACGTTGAATCTACACAATCTACATCCTCGTCCTCACTATCCATATACGAGTAAGCGCGAATTGAAAAATCTGTACTTGCCATTGGTACCCGTCCCATATTATATTCTAGGCCTTCCTCAGAAAAGTATGATCTGTAATACAAACCGGTAATATTACATCAAATATTTCAATATATTATTACAAAATATTAATAAGACGGTTAATTGAGGAATATAGCAGTTACCAATTTTTATATTGTAGTATACAATACAATACTGTATTGAAAGCACGTGCACACACACACCTACACACACACACACACAACACACACATATATATATAATATATATATATATATATATATATATATATATATATATATATATATATTACTAAAACAATACCAAAAAAGTACCAGCTTACTTACGAAAGATTCATTCATGCATCATATTGCAATTTGATTAATTCATTTTTGTTGTTTACTATTCATGATATATTACTGATGGATTTAAAAACTAAAAAAGTAGTAGCCACTGAAAAAATGTCAAAAAACATTTTGAATAAAATAAAATGTTAAGTTAAATGTCTTCCTTGTATTTGATATCAGCAGTGTTTTCAAGTAATTTAAGTATAATGCCAAAATTACCAGAAAGGAAATTAATTGAGATACTAATGTTATTGTGTTATAGTGATAAAAACGTACTTATGAAGAAGTAAGTTAACTCTTTAACAATTTAGATATTGCAAGACTTTCTATAAATAGATCAACGTTGTTTAAACTATGTCCTTCTACATGTTAAAAAAAAACCTAAAACATCTACCTATGAACTATCCAAAAAATATTTAACAGAAAAATAACTTCCACCCTTATAAAATTCAAAACCAACAATAATTACCAGAAGATGATTTTGATCGGAGACAAAAGTTTTGTAAAACCACAATTACCGATACTAGTCAGATTTAAATCCACACTGGATAGATGAGACTTAATTTCATATTACAAAAGTAGTATATTAATGTGATATACTTTTATAGTATACTTAAAAATTTATGTGTGGGCTGGTTGGTTACAAAACTATTTGATAGGATCATTTTTTTATTGATGGCGCACTTACCATTGTAAAATACCTTGATCTTTTCCAGCATCAAATTATTTTTACGATAGCAGTTTGGTTCCAGTACAAATTTTTAATGCCAATACGTTTTCGTTTATTTGGTGACTTATTTTGTGCTACTCGTACTATCCTATCCTCTGCCATTCTACTAATGTGTTCGTTTCACTTCTGATTTCGTTTTGTCACCCATTTATTTATGTCTTCTTTATTGTATTCTTTTCTTATGTTTTCGCTACTCTTTCTATTCAACACACTTTTTCCTGATATTTGTCGAAGTATTTTCATCAATGTTGTTTCTAGTAGTTGTCTCGTTTTAAAAGTGTTGGGTCTTGTCTCCCCCGTTAATGTTTATATAGGGCTAATTGCTTCTTTATAGATTCTTGTTTTTATGTAATTAAGAGATTCCGCTGCTTTACGTGCTTTTAAGCTTTGTTGTATTGTACTTATTCTTCAATATCTCCGTAACTAATTATATATATTTCCAGATATCTAAACCCTGCTTGCTGCTATATTATTCTCCCATCAGTTTTGATTTTACATCGTAGTGAGCATCTATATGTCATACATTTGGTTTTTTTAATTTTATTTCTTGACTGATAGTATTCAAGATGTGTGTTAATTTTTAAATCTCGACTTCAGTCTTGGCGATTAATGCGGCGTCGTCTTTATAACAAAATATTTTGATTTCTTTGTTCGTCATTTTGTAACCATGAATATTAAAAAAAAAGTGGGCTTAATAATTCACTCTGTCTGACTCCGCTTTGTATTGGTATACAGTGTTAGTTTTACATAGTTCTTTGCCTGTATTTGATTATGGAAGTAGATGTTTTTAATGATATGAATTATGAATGAACAGTATGGTTTTAATAGGATGGCGCACCTTCACACTATAATAAAATTGATCGACAATATTTGAATATCGTTCTCACCAGAAATGGATTAGACGAAGAGGTGCAACTAAAAGGCCAGCAAGATCTCCCCACTTGACTCCGTTTGATTTTTTTATAGTTCTGTCATAAGGACCAGGTATATGTAAACGGGCAGTTTGTGCAAAAATATTCACTGATTATATTCAAAAATTCTAAGATAGATTATTACCAATAAAAAGATGATCAACACTGAGCACCGTTTATAAAAAATGTATTTTTATTTAATTTACTTGTTACATGTCAAAATTGGATAACAACTATATTATTGTATTATATCTTTGGAAATTTTTCTTATATTATACACTTGAATTGCAAAACAATCGACTCAAAAGCGATATTTGAGATTACACCTTCTGTTTCAATGAAAGCAGTATGATAATAAAAGAACAGAGATGTTCAATTAAAAAATGAATTTATTTATTTTTCAGTATTTGATATTACCACCTCTACTTCTAATTACACTTTTTAATCGGTTTTGCATGGATGAAATAAATTCTTAATGCATTGCTTCCTATTCATCTTTAAGCGCAGCTCTCAATTCCGTTAGGCTATTTTGTATATGGTTTCTGTCCCGGACCGTTCGTTTAAGCTAATTTTAAGGATGCTCTATTTCTATTTATGTCCGAATTTAACTTAGGCTAATTTATTGTAGGTATACCGATCTCAGATAGATAATAAATCCCGCGTATGGAACCACATGTTCCTCCCAAATTTCTCTGATATAACGATCCGCCGTTAAACCTCCTTCACGTTCTCCCATTAGGCACGAAAACTAACTCGATTTTACCATCCATGAAAATGGCTGCGCAAAACATACAAGAACTCCCTCCATATGACATAATTTCTCGTATACAACATTAAGAAATCGCTCTCCTGGCCTTCTATAGACTCTCGTTGCCATGTAGACAGGTCCTACTTTATTCGGAGAATAATACCTGAATCCATTAATAGTCGTCTAAATCCAGATGTGCGCGAGCAAATTCTAATCGCCGTTGCTTCTGGGCTGCAGTTAGCTTGAAACCCATAGCTGCCGTATTTGGTGTCAGGTTGGCTGACTTCAATCTAGTTCTGACATTTCAAATGCTGGTAACTACACCTTGGACCTCTTTAAGCTCTTCTTTAAGATTCAGTCAAATGTAGATTTTTTACGGATTTCAATACAAGAAATCGATTACCTCTCTCCGTTGTTATTCGTTGACGGCGGACATAATCACCAGTATCTTGGTAAAGAATTCACTCGAGACACATCACATTGGCTTAAACTTAGTCAATGTGCCACATCCCTCTGGCCTGGCCTTCTCTCAATAATGATGCTGCCTGAGGTGCTTTGACGAATGCTGTATCTATTTGTAATGCAGATGCAAACTTAAGTGACTGGTGTATCAGTGGGTTGCTATCGAAATTGATGCGTATGATGTTAACCGAACGCGTTAAGTCGGAGCGTGTCGATTTCACAGAGCCAAATTCTTACACCCTCTCTACGTGTTGCATTATTTATTTGTAATACGTCATCCGATTCATCAAAAAACCAAAGTTTTTTAAAACTGATTGTACACTAAATATTTTTAAATTCACACTTTTTAGATTGGAACAGAAGACATACTTTCGCAAAATAATTTTGAGTCGATTATTTTGCACTTAAGATGGTACTTTTTTAGTATTAATAAAAAAAAAAAAAAATAAACTTTTTATGAAATACCACTTGATTATTTAAAAATATCAAGATGGTGGCGATACGCTAAACACTGACGTTACATGAATTTGAAATACTCTCTAGAAAATGTAGAATATTGTATTTGCCACTGTATTATACTTACTTAAACTTTTTAACATTATAATACAGCTTACAAGAAGAATTGAAACACATAGCCGTGACTGACTGAAATATTCTGTATTAGCCGCCGAGATACAAATTGTATAGAACAGTCAGAAAAATACTTTTTTTTTGTTTTAGGCCTTAGGTACAAGACCTATTTAGCCAGACAATATAGGTATAAGAATATAGAATACATAAAAACAATCTCCTACACTTCCTTCAAATTCATAACAATTTCCTAACCGTTCGTTCATTCGCACCACATTCACTCAATTTCCTAACCTTTCCATTAAAAACACTATTGTGTGACTATACAAAAAGGATTGAATAGGAACACACGCTTCACGCTAAGGTGCCCTTCATAGCGACTTTTTTGTAACACAAACAGGCAACGGTTAAAGGTAAAAGACATAAAAGGAAAGACAATGGGAAATACAACAATTGACGTCCTACCATTTCGGATTCACACAACAACACTGAACAGGGCAGTTTAGATTTTCCGTTTGGTACGTTTGAAAAATTCCCATGAAATTGATCTTATTGTTGAATTTCGACTACCTTAATACAGAATAGAAGCAACGTTCTGTGGCAGAATGATTTTTTCTTGAGAGATGGCTTGAAATAAAAATTATATGGCTTCTTGATTATACCGACATTGAAACATCTAGTGGTTAAGATCGTCATAACTGCCATTACATTCACATATATCAGTTTCGTAAAGTTTTATTTTATACAAGTAAGCATTTATTGTAGCATGTCCAAAAAGGCATCTAACGTACATAGTATAAGTTTTCCGAGAGATGGATAAGAGTTGGATATATACTGCAGTATGTATTTTTGCTACTGTTAGTAAAGGATTGCCACTCAATTTCCCAATTATGTCTTTCTCAACATATTTCTTCCTAGCTGAAACTATATCCCATTTGGGCAACTCGTTGTACTCTATACCCACTAAAGTAGCGTCTTTAGCCAAATGGTCTACTTTTTCATTACCTAAAATATTAGAGTGATCTTTAACCCACACAAAGTTAACAATTCTGTTTAGAGAAGTAAGATTCTTAGCTTTTTAAGCGCATCTACAATTAGTCTGTTGGTATATATGTGTTTAGAAAAGTGTCTTAATGCGAGAAGGACGGACTGTGAGTCAGATAAAATTATATATCGTTCGAAATATAATGTGCTATTAATGATCCAATCCAACGCCTTGACAATGGCTACCAATTCAGCTGTGAATATTGAGCAATTTGATTTTAATTTGTACTGAAAATAATTTTGAATATTGTCTATGTAAA